CTACTACTACTACTACTGCCAGGGAGGAGGTACGAAAGCTAGCAGGGCTGGGGTAGGGTGGTAATCGTAAAGGGGGATTAGCAAGGTGAAGTCGGAATGCGGCAACGGTCTCACGTGTTTTTTTGGAGTTGCTGCAAGTCACAAACAGTGCCAATCTTTTGATGTTGATGAGGTTGCTGACCAGAACGATGAAGGAAACTGATGATGACGAGAGTGATGGTAACAGGAATGAGCTGATGACGACGATGATGAGGACGAAGAGGATGATGAGGATGATGAGGATGATGGGGATGATGATGAGGATGATGAGGATGCTGAGGATGAGAATGAAGATGAAAATGAGGATGGTGATTATGATGAGCAGGGCTGTTGTAGGGTTGCAAAATCTATTGAGTCCAACAAGCGAAAACCCCCCAATGAAGTAATCGTCTCTCGCCAAGTGGTGTAAGCAAAAGAAATGCAATATCCAAAAAAAAACGCCCCCCAAATGGAAGCCCAAATCTTCATAAAGATGTTCGAGACAATGCAAAATATTGTACCATGTGTATGCTGATGATAAGGATGATGATGATGATGATGGTGATGATGACGATGATGATGTTGTTGATGGTGATGATCTGGATGCTGCGAATGATGGGGGTGATGATGCTGATGATGATGGTGATGATGATGATGATTATGATGATGATGATGATTATGATGATGATGATGATGATGATGTGGAGGATGAGGGTGAGGATGAGGATGAGGATGAGGATGGAGACGGGGATGGAGGATGAGGATGAGGATGAGGATGAGAATGAGGATGTTGATGATGATGATGATGAGGATGAGGATGAGGATGAGGATGATGATGAGGATGATGATGAGGATGATGATGATGCTGATTCTGATGATGATGATGATGATGATGACGACGACGACGGGGAGGGGGAGGAGGAAGATAATTATGACCATTTGGAAGCCGGCAAGTTTCCGATGATGATTTCATACAGTTGTTGGTTGGTTTACAGAACATGACGTCCTGAAGATGAAATACTGAAGAGGACGACCGTCTACCTGCAGGAAACCAGTGGCCCAGCGGGACCAGAGGATGAGGATGCTGATCAACGATGAGGAGGACGAAGAGGATGATGAGGATGATGATGATGATGAGGATGATGATGATGATGATGGTGATGATGATGATGATGATGATGTGGGTGCTGCGGATGATGGGGATGATGATGATGATGATGGTGGTGGTGGTGGTGGTGATGATGATGGTGGTGGTGATGATGATGATGGGGATGACGATGACGATGACGATGACTATGACGATGAGGATGAGGAGGGTGAGGATGAAGATGAAAATGAAAATGAGCATGATGACCCTCTACCAGCCGGAAATCTCCTCTCGGGGGGGGCTCGGGGGGATCGAACCTGGGCCTGCCGGGGGGGGTCGAACAGGAAAGTTTCAGGGTTTCCAATGGTCCTGATGCCTGCCTATTCCTTGCTAAAGCAAGAGCAACTTCAGCTAGCACAGCTAGCTTTCGTGACTACCACTACCACTACCACTACCCCTACCACCACCTACTAAGTACCACCTACTACCACCTACTACCACCTACTACCACCTACTACTGTCTACTACTACCTACTACTATACCACCTACTACTACCTACTAACCACTACTAGCTACTACCTACTACTACCTACTACCTACTACTACCTACTACTACCTACTACTAATCTACTACCTACTACTACCTACTACTACCCACTACTACCCACTACTACCTACTACTACCTGCTGACTGACTGACTGACTGACTGACTCACTAACTAACTAACGAACGAACTAACTAACTAACTAACTAAACTAACTAACTAACTAACTAACTAGCTAGCTAACTAACTAACTAACTGTGACTGACTAACTGATTAACTCACTAACTAACTAAACTAAACTAAACTAAACCAAACTAAACTAAACCAAACTAAACTAAACTAACTAACTTAACTATATAAATAAACTAACTAACTAACTAACTAACTATCTATCTAACTAACTAACTAACTAACTAGCTAACTAACTAACTAACTAACTAACTAACTAACTAACTAACTAACTAACTAACTAACCAACTAACTAACTATCTAATCAATTAATTAGTTCATTAATTCATGATAATTCATTAACTAACTACACATCCCTACTCTCTCCATCTCTAATCTTCCCCATCCCATATGTTTCGTATAACGGAGTTTAGACTACTAAATTTCCTTTGACAACTGCAATATCCTCACAGCTCAACACGCGTTATGTAAAGGCCCAAGTTTGGGTCTGGAGCGGCAATGCCTCCGGATGAATTTCAACTCCATTGATGCTGCATTGATTCATTTTGCATTTGTGAATCTGTCTGTATGTCTGCATTTTGCCACCAATTTATTGGCCGCACTGGTTCAAACCGAAGCATGAACCTCAACGAGACCTCGATGGAGCAATGCGGATTGCACCTGAGATCAGAGGCCAAGATGAATGCCTCCGTGAAAGCGTTTCCCTTTCTGCGAACTGCCGTATGATTTCTAACAACTTAGACCCCATACGGCAGTAGCACAAGGCTTTGCATCAAAAACAGTGGGCGGGTGCCTGGGGCCCACGGGGTGTACTAACAGAGAAATGGGTAAGCTGAAGAAGGTTCTTGTTTACCAAGATGAAAACCTATGTCCATAACCTGCAACTATTGGCACAACCCGAAAGTGGACTTGAGTTTCAAACATATTGAAACAATTCGGCAAAAAAGAACTCCGAAAACAGTCGAAACTGTTGACTGACCCAATTTGAATTGCAATTGCCGCGCATTGCCTTACATGTATGTCACTGAGCATGTTTTTTTTTAAAACTGTCTGAACTTCACTCATTTATTGTCGCGTCAATTTTCATTAAACGATCATTAACCCAAGGGTTCCACGGTTTCAAGGCTCTTCGATCCAAAGGGTGAACGAGATTGTGAAGTTGGTTACCGATTTGTTGCGCCATGTTGCTTTTCAACCTGACCTGCAAATTTGTCTGAGACAATCTATTTCGTCTATTCCTGCTCGATCTGGCAGTTTTCTTTCTGTTACCTTCAGAACTAGTTTCACACCTTCCATGCTTCAAAATCAGTTCCAACGAATATATTTTAGAACCCCCAGCAACGGACAACAGTTGGTCCATTTGGACTGTCCAATCTGACAATGGTCTGACGTTTCTTTCCGTGCGAAATGATAGTTTCTTTGCAGGACATTCCAGCGTTTGGGATCAAGAATTTCTGGAGGGCGAAATTATGCTGCGTCAAAGTAAATCATTTGATGATTTGATGGAAAGATGTTCTGGAAACGGTCCTGAAAGCACCGGACAACGCATTTTAAAAGTTCCGCACGTTTCGCGGGGAGGCGCAAGAGATTCGACACAGGTCGCATGCGGTTGCAAGATTTCGCACAAAATTGTTGGCAGGCGTGGGTTGAAATGAGAGGTACCGCACGTACGTGCCCTGTCTGGCAAGCCCGACATTTGGTGAACTTGGATCAAGGATGCTTGCACACAGGTCCGGTGAGTTCCGTTACACAGTCCTTGTACAGAGACCATGGGATTTCCGTTGAAAGATTGCTGGACAGCAGAGATCCTGTGAATTCCTCAAAACAGTCCTTGTGCAGATCTTGTACAAAGATCCCGTGGCTTCTTTTGGAAGATTTTTTAATGGAGATCCTGTGAATTTCTCTCAGGGATCCTCGTGCAGAAGAGATCCTGTGAGTCCTATGCAAAAGATCCTATGGGTTCCTTTCACAGATTTTTGTTCCAGATCTAGAAGGAAGTTACTGTACTTCTCCGCGCTGTTTAGGATCCCCTGCCAGAATAATTTTATAAGGTTTATTGGTTTCCAGATGTTCCAAACCCTTCTGTCCACACAAGAAACCCTAAGACCTTGAGGCATTCACACGGATGTAGTTTGCAAACAGTATCCTGAAAGTCCCAGGATCTTCACAAATCGCATGTTGACCCAAATATATATATATATATATACACAGTATAATATGTAATATGTACAATATTTTTTGTAGAGAGACAGATTTAGATGAGGCCCGGCTAGGAAAAACATGAAATATCACTATCTGTGTCCAAAAAGAGAAAGTTGCTGCCCATGAACGACCCAACGATTTCTCTTGTTCAAACTTTGGTCGGAGAAATCGTGCCTAGTTCTAGGTGTTCATTTTTGGCCCAGCTGTGGCAACAAAACACAACACAGCGCAGGGCCGTGGCGGGATACATATGTACATATGTACATGTATACATATATACATATACAAATATATACATATATTGCAGATTCAACTGTCACTGGCAGCTACTTCCAAAACCAAGTTCACCTTGCCCACCTGAGCAACTGCTAAAGGCACCTTTTCTATGGCGACACGCGAAGGTTCGAAACCGCTGGCTCCCAAGCCAGATAAGCCCTCAGCCGGCCCGCCAGAGCCAATATCCACTTGCATAGAATCATGACTCCCTGCAGATAAAGATGACAGCTCATTGTCCCCGTAAATATCCACCAACGCATGAAGACAGTGAATGTTGGAACTGGAAATCATACTCCTAAAAAAATCCTTTTTTTTGAATTTCTGCTTGCATAGATTGGTCCTGTCTGACAGGGACGTAGAGTCAAGTTCCGGCTGGAACACTTTGGCAATCTTTTGGATTGAGAAAACTGGCATTCCTAGTGGCAAAAATCGATGCTGAATGGACACTTCGGCACACACTCAGTCGATACCCAAAACTGCCAGAGCAAAAGCATGCAATGTGGAGGCCTCGGCACTGTTCTGTTCATACCATTTTTGTCGAATCTTCTTATCTGCCCTTTGTTTGAGAACTTCATCAACATCATGTAATACGCAATGTCCATTACGAAGAAATGTACGCAGTACTGATGTGTCCATGTCTTTTGTAAGAGAATCTCTGCCATCTGAGCCGCGGAATGTACCCACTTCACTTGGACACCTTCTTGCAAACGTTCTTTGATCACTAGGGCTTCCAACGTAGTGCGATGTTCAGTACACTGTGGGATTGAAGTCTTCTGGAGTAAATCAAAAAGGCTCTTACAATCGACAACCGCAAATGAAAGTGGTAAACCCTTCAAAGTCACTTCTGGGGTTTTCCAGCAAGTTGATGGGTCCAGAATCCATGCCCAATGCATGCGGGTCCAGCTTAACAAATCCAGAGCTCCTGAAAGAGCAAAAGTCTCAGACGCCAACGTGCTTGATACCACTCTATTGATCTTCTTCGAAAACCAGACAAGAGGACTCACCGGTGTTGATCGAGTCAGTTCTATTTCATTGGTCGTAGCTAATATCAAGCAACCCTTTTGGGAATGAGCCTTTTCTCGAGTAGCAAAAGCTGCATCGGAAAATGATAAGAATCGGATCTTATGGGCAGGCAGTGACTGTATGCGTATGGTTGTCTGAGAAAACCTCTTTGCATCATCTAACAACTTGTTCCCAGTGAGAAGATCGGATACGGTGGCACATGTGATACGAGCTTGCAACAGGCTAAGTCGGCAGGCTAAATCCGGCCGAGTGTTGGATGCCGCGTACTGCAGACTGCCAATAAGCCCACGCAGGTCTTGAAGTTCTTGTCGAGAAACTTTCAAGTCTGGTTGCTTCCTCCGATCACGGGTGACGTTGATTGGTGGAATCTCATTGACATAATCTTTCTGGCTAAGATTGATATCACCATTGTGATCTTGACTCAAGTGAATACCCGTGAACGTGAAAGAACCCTGTCTTTGACTGCCGAACGGAAAACGCTTCTCCAGGATACTTATTGCTTGTGCGAAAACTGAATCTCCACCGCCGAGACCATCATCAACATGGATTCCTAAAACACCATGAATTTTTGGTTCATTCGGTTTCAAAGTGGAAATTTTCTTTGGTAAAACAAACAAGCAAGGATCCATTGGGGACATTACGAATCCCAAACTGAGAAGGGCGTTCTTCAGCTCACAGTACCATAAAAGTGGGGCATTGACAAGTCCATAGGCTCCTTTGAGCAGCTCGCATACTTCATTTTCTTGAAGTTTCATTTTGGCACGAAGTTCTGCTGGAGGTTCTACACCCAGGATCCTAGAGTCCTGTCGACTACCTCTAAGGAAAGCTGTTCTAATGTCAAAGGACCTGGCTGTCCATTGGTGACTTGCGATGCATTGGAGCGCAAGCATCCTAGAATCTTTTCCTAGGGTAGGTGAATCTCGGGGTAAGGAGTCTATGGCAGGATCCTCAAAACCCAAGATTACCAGGCGTGCTTTGGCTTTTCGGGACGTTCCTAATTCGGCTCTTTCGACATCATCTAAAGCTTTCCACGTTAATACCCACCTAGATCTGAGTAGTTGTCCTTCAGGGACGCGGCTTCGAAGGATCTTGCGGACTGTGTCTGTGGAGAGCCAAGAATCGATTTCTTTCTCCTTGGCCTTTCGGAACATTTCCAATTCCTGGGAATTCAAATCTCCTAGCTTGACTTCAACCTTTTGTCTTTTCGCTGCTGACGCAAGGAAAACTTCTTGTTCGGAAAAGGTCTTGCCTAGGCACTGTTGGATCTCTTCCATACTCGCAATAGCAATAGATCCTAATCTCCCAGTAGAGGTCCCATTGCCCGCAGATGCGGAAGATGGTTTGACAACGCACCAGCATGATCAAGATCACTGGGAAGTCCAATCCCATCGTGTAATTCGTCACCATGTGCAGCCACGACTACATATGTTTTTTCCCACTGACACTTTTGAATGTCCTGTTCCAATACTACAACTTACAGATCAACGAACCACTCAGGGTCGATATGTATCTGGATGTGATTTTCAAAGGACCGAAAATTGGAGAGACAATGTAGAAGCTCACATGATAGCACCTGCACCATGGACAGGAAAGACCATTTTCAACCTCACTGTTCCACATCAAGACACCACACAAGACTGTTTTCACAATCAATCAGACTTACCAACCAACTTATACTCTCAAGTAACATCTGGTTGGTGGACACTTGATGGTGGTGATGGAAGGCTTGGTGGTGTAGGGTTATTTTCTGGGTTAATGGCAATAGTTTCAGTGTTGGTCTGCGTTGATACTGGATTGGGATTTGTGGTAACCTGGCCATCAGCAGCAGGGGTTCTCTGATGCACAAGCTCTCGGAATTGGAAAACGCCAGTGCCACATTTTTCTGGCAGCTTCAGCATGAGTTTATCATCAGCTGACAAAGACTTCGCTTCATCTTCGGACAATAAACGTACGTGTTCCGGGGCGCATCGGTACAGACGTGTCATATGGCTCAACCAAACCAAGTTCTGACTTTCTACCATAAGAACCCTGGCAGGCCCTCTCCAGGAGCCCTCATTCACCTCCTTGCCTTCACGTTAGTATATCAGAAAGTTGCCGGGTTGGAACAACATTCGGTCTGGTCGAGACCGGGCATGAAGTGCTCGTCTCAAAGTGGCACT